CCGCGGTGCCGCTCGGAGGGGGGGTGTCAGCGCGCCTCCGCGTGAAGGCGAGGAACTCCGCCTCCTCTACCTTTGATTGGCACGCGCCGGGGTTCCTCGTGCGGCAGCGCGATGTGCGCAAACTCCTGCGGGTGGCTCACCACGCTCTTATCCAAGATGAAGCGATTCATCGTGCGGTCGTATTCCAGCTTCACCTCCTTGGCCAGCCCCTCCACACACGTTTTCACGCTGCGGGACAAGAACGGAGCCCGTTGGGCCGCTTTCCCGCGCGGAGGCATGCCCGACGCCTTCCCTCCGCCTGCTCGTCGTGCGGGCGGACGCGGGCGCTTCCGCGATGGAAATCAGCCCATCGCTCGGCTGCGTTTTGGCAGCGGTCGTGCCGGCCATCGTATCGTATCATATCATATTCTCTCTCGGTAAAAAAGATGTGAAAGGCGCGCAGAGAAAGGCCCAGCGATGACTTACATGTCCAGTTTGAGGCCGGAGCCCGCCAGCGCTCGTCTTTGGATACGGCGCAGGCAGTGCGGATCGATGGACGGCGTCTCGTCCCAGATGGGCATGCAGTCCACCGTCAGGTTGTAGAGGATGAGGGCCTCGGAGTTGGCTCGCAGGCGCATGGCAAACTGGATGCGCCGCACAAAGACGCGGGGGTCCTCAGCGCTGAACAGCAGCCTGATGCGGGGAATCCAGTGCCTGTTGCCCGTTTGGAGGCACTTGACATCTGAACGACGGCGAGAGGGAAACACGTGAGCGGCTCTTTATGGGGCAAAGGTCGTGGCCGGGCCGGGCGCGGCGCTCTCGGCGACGTTACCGGGGCGATTCCTTTCTCCTTCTTTCAGCTTGCTGTTTGGGAAAACCTTTTCCACCAGGTACTGACATTTCTCCCTGCTGTAGTCGAGCACTCCCACTAAATGCCAGCTGTACTCCGACGATGGGGGAGCTTGGCCGTTTTCTGACGACGGACGTGTCGGCTGTTGAGACACTACCAATTTTTTTTTTGTTTTCATTTCGCAGGCATCTTACCCGACGCTACCGCGTCGTCCGTCGGCAGCAATGCTTTTGCCGGGATTGGTTTTCTGCAAGGCGATCCTTCGCTTTTCCCCAGGACCAGCCAGTCTTCCGCAGTACGGCAGTCAAACTCCACATTGTCAAATATCTGCGAGGAAAACGTCACAAGGGAAGGCAGCGAAAAATACGGCAAGGAGAAGAAGGCGGCGCCGAGAGCCCCGCCGCGTCGCGGTGGCGGGGCGGGCGGGCTCACCTCGAGGGGAAGGTAGGACGACACGATAAGACGCTCGTCGTTACCGTCCAATGGGCGTGGCATCAGGAGATTGGAGTCGATGTTTTTGTACGCCAGCAGCTTCTCAAAATCAATCTTCAGGTATTCTCTTCGACACCTTGGGAGAAGACGCGTGATTTTCTCAACGGATCACAAACCTGTCCCCGCCAACCGCACCAAATGTCCGGCCTGTGCTCTCCAATATTTCTCACAGTCGGAGAGGAAGAGGACTTGCGCGTTCTCTGTCCCTACCTCTCCTTGGTTAAATCGCGAGGGCTCTTGCCAGGAACGGTTTTGTAGGGCATCTGGACCTTGGGCGTGTCTGCGCCGCAGTTGAAGTAAGACGTGAGGAGTTGCTTGGAAAAGGGGCCATAATACTCCTTGTCGTCAAACTTGTATTTGGCAAACGGAGACTTGGAGTCTGTGGAGACCAAAGAGAGACAAGCGCAGCACATGATCGGAAGCCCTGCCGTGTCGGCAGAGAGTGAGATTTTCTCCACCACGACGACGACACGGAGTTCCACACTTTTCAGTCATATTGCGTTGCATTTGCACCCGTTTTTTACACGACGCAGCAAATTCACAGACTTTGAAAAGACGCGCCTTGAATTGCGGGCCCTCTGGGTTCGAAGAACTAGACACTTTTCAGAACAGTACGATTTTTTTCTTCTGGTTTTTTTTTTCTATTTTGGCTTTTTTTTTATTCACTCAGTTGCAATTAGCTTTTAGAGCAGGTTGGTGAGTTTTTACTTTTTCAAAAATGCTTTGTTTTACTTGACTTTTTTAGTTTGAGGTTTGGTTTTTTTTTTCAACAGATGGGACTATCTGATGAGTGCAAGATAAAAAAAAAAAAAACGGTCACCAAGCGCCGTGTAATGAAGTGAGCTGCAGTTCTCAAACAACTTTGTTTCCTTCTGCACAACAGTTAATTAACATTGTTCGGCGGAAAAAAAAACCTTAATGGGCCTCGCGATGATGTGAAAAATACACATTGTTAGTTGGAGGGCGGCGCAGGAAAAAAATCCCCACAGCGTCCCGTCTGGTGAAAACGCCGCCCATCCCGGCCTGCTCCGGTGGACTTTTGACCCTGTACCGTCCCAGTCCGGTGATTGGAGGCAAAGCTGACCCCCTGGCCCGCGGGACTCCCGGATGAATCTCAGCTTCTCATTGCGGTAGGTGTCGATGGACAGAAAGTTCGCCGAGACCGAATTCCAATGCCCGGCGTGCGACGCGACGATGGTCCGGCGTGACCCCCGGCCTTGGTTTTGAATCGCATGGCCCCGACCTCCTTACCTGATGAACCATCATCATCGCTGAAGTCAAGGGTGGATACCCGCTCCTGGCCGTCCGCTTCCTCCGTGCAAGTCTGATCAGTCAACAGAGTTTGGCGATGAACACACACACAGCGCCCGAACATCCAAAGAAAGCGACGCTCGCGGGCTGAGATTTCGCGCGTGGCTTTACCTTAAATCTGAGGGCGGTGAACACATCCGAGTAGAGGCCCTTCTGTTTCGTGGCGGGTCCTTTTCGGACCGGGGGGAGCGTGTGTCTGTGACCTTGAGCGGACGGCCTGTCCTTCGGAGTCGCCGGGGACGAATGGGGCCCGAACGTTCCGAAGCCGGGCAAATGTTTACCCTCCATCTCAAGCTTGACAAACAAGAAGCACACAGCCAACAGGAAGGCGTCAGGACGGAAGAGGTCTCCGCTGACGAGGGGAGCGCCGCCTCAGGTGATCACGCTTCGACGCAACGTTTGGGATTTCGGGTGACATCTGCCGACCAACCGAAAATGCGCTTGGACCTTTACGGGTAAACTTTGTTTGACTTTCTCTCAACTGTTGATTGCGCACGTCCTGTCCTGGTAGTCACAGTATGACCTCCGTGATTTGTTTCTTTACAGTGGCTTGAGCCGATACATGGGGGGAGGAGGGGGGGGGGCAAGAAAAGCAAAGAAAATGCCAAAATGGGTTGGACTGAGTGGGTGCAGAGATTTCTGACGGGGGTCTTCCCTGCTCCCCTCCTTTGGGTGAAGCCCTGTTGGATGGGTGGCAGTTTCTGCACTCCCGGTGGCAAAGGCCACCAGAGCCCGGTGGTGAGCTGTGCTCTTCGGCTTCTACTTTCGAGTACCGTAAACCAAGGCCAGCGCATGGCCGCGATGCGCATTCGGCGGTTCAGAGGTCAAATGAAGTTCACCGGCACAGGTTGAAGAACAATGTCACTCAAAAGCCCAAAGTCGCCCACTTTTTGTGAGTAGCGTCTGTGTGAGGGTTGGGTTGTTTCCGGGTGTGCGGTCGGCCACAACATTGAGAGTTCGGACGCTACCTTCTCCATTGAGCTACAGAGGAGATATACAGTAGCCGAGTCTTGGCATCATTTGCCAACAGTTCCGCCCATGAATGCCGTCGCTGCTTCGTGGCGTCTGGCCCACGTTCGAGAGCCCTTCCCACAAAGCCGGCCGGCGCAGACGGCTTCCACAAACCACTTCGCGCTTCGTTACGTGGCGACGACAGTGTCGCGCTGCCAACGGTCGACTTCGAGTGACGTAGCGTACCTTATTTTGGCGTTATTTTCGAGCACCTCCGAAGAGGCGGGGCGTCCAAAGAGCACACGAGCAACAACGCCCGGCGTCCTTGGCTCATTCTTCCGCGGGCGTCGACCTGGCTTTGGCCACCCACCCGAACGCAGTTGCGACGGAGCTGCGCGAGTTTCTTCGTGGATCTTCCCGATCGCCGATGACGTCGCGGCTTGGAAACGCGCTTCGTCGTCGGTCGCGTCGCCCGCGCGTCATTCGAGCCGCAAGGGAGAAAGTTCGGGTCAGCGCCCCCCCGGCCATCTTTCAAACTAGAATGAAAACTAATTTGTATTCTTTGGCTTTTGACTCAGCATGATTTTTAGTTTGACTGTTTTTGGGCTTTCAACTGTCTTTGTTATTCATGTATTATTGTGTGTGTGGAAATAAATATTGGATATATATATATATATATATATATATATATATATATATATCCACATACACATGACATTTGCTCCATGTACAGCACTTACATGGAGGATACAGCGGGGGTTGGTTTAAAGTGCTCGAGAAATACACTTGAGATAAGAGCAGGTGACTTCGAATTGACCTACCGACCGCAGCCGGACATAAAACGCTGTCGCGTTCGGGATATTTCGGAGCATGGAAAATGCAGACGTGACATTGCGAAGCATACCCGCAGTCGCCGATGAGCGGTTCTCTCGGTGGAGCAACGCAGAGCGCCAGCGGACGTCCTCCGCAGCCAGCGCGAGCGAGCGTCGCCCTCGTCGTATCTTAGCGCCCGCAATGAAACGTCTCCTTGGACGACGCTCGCTCGGCGTGAGAAATCTCAGTTCGCCGGTGCACGCCGCGACGGTTGTCGTGGAGACGGGGTCACGTGACGCACAGCCGGCTGACGCTCAGAAGCGCGCACAAAACACCGCGCGGCGCGCTCACACCCGCGATGAGCTCGGACGACGTGGGAAAAGGAGGCTCGCCTTGGAAGAGAGCACTCGATAAAAAGGAGAAACGACCTCGGACGATTCGGTCACGCGCAGTCAACGCGCGTTTCTAGCCCGCGCCGTTTACGACCACCGCGTTGCGTTCTTCTGAAAGGGGTCCGGTCGGCGCGTGCATGTGCCTTTGCAACACGTGGACGAAAGCAGTCCCGGACGCGTGTCCTTGGACGGCCGCCGGAACAAAACCAAGCTGAGCTTCCACAAACACGTGTTTATTCTTCACGAAATAAAGGTCCACAGCGAAAGAAAAAAAAAGTGTACTCCGGATGTTGAAGCAAAAAGTGACGAACTAGCGCAGCGAAGCCAAGAGGCGCCACCCTGTGGCGCGATCCCGTACTACAATAACGGACTGCTCGACTCAACAAGTTGATCCGCGGTGGAATCAAGAAATGTCGTCGAGCTTTGTGGGGCAGCCCGAGGCACGATTTAGTGTCAACGCCTTCACTAAATGTCAATGAAAACGCGCAAGGCTGCGGCGGGCGGGCAAGCAAAGGAAGGACAGAGGATTATCGCTAAACAAAATGTCAGGCAGTATCGGACCAGAGTTATTCTTTACGCTGTGGTGTTAGAGTGCCTGCTGTTTTTTTAATGCATAATCCGGTACCAAACAAGAGACGCTCATTTGGAAAGTTTGGAAATGGAGAGGCTTTTTTTCTGATGAGAACATGTTTTGCTGTGGTGGCTGTTTTTTGAACCGGTGGCACGGACGGGACCTTCCAGGAACAGTTGCGCATCAATCGCCACCACGCTTCAAGTTCATCTTCTGGTGCTGCCCACAAAAGCCATCGCAGTACAGGCGGGCCTCCTTTGGTTGCTCGACTGTCAAGAGGGCAGCAATCGACGCAACAAAGCGCCACGCGGGGCTTGCACGCGGAGACTGAAGAGCCGGGGGATTTGACCTTTGATTTTAGCTGGCCGTCTGGCCGGCTGCCGGTGAGCCGGCTGGACCGGCGACCGCCTGAGGCGTTAAGGGCGGGTCCTCGGCTGAGTCGGGGGCAGAGTTGGCCTCCGGCCGATCTGAGCTTTCGTGGTCTTCCTCCTGAGGATAGAGCTCCGGGTACCTCTGCATGCACTCCTGCATGTTCCGGAAGTGGTGGATGCACTCGGAGCCCTTCACCTCCTCCTGACTGGAGTGAAAGCATGAGAAGGCCTCCTTGAACTGAGCGCCGCAAGGTCCGCTGGCCATGCCACCGAGGCACGGGCAGTTCCAATTGATGTCCCCGTTGGGCAGGATGAGGCCCACACACACACACACACACACACACACACACACACACACACAGGCGTGTGAGGGTTTCGCTCATTTAAAATCAGTGTTCCATGACACGACTAAAGACCGACGACACGGCTTATCTAAATATGGATCATTTTGACACCCACGGGAAGTGGCCTAACTGAAGACCTCAGCGCTCTGGACCAACCTTGCTCCTCATACGGATCATGTGGATCGTCTGCAATCAGCTCGGCGTTGCTCGGGGCCTCATGGTCCTCCTTGGTTACAAAGACAATACGATCTTTACCTGGAAACACAATGCCGAACGATTCGGCATTTCTGTCACTACCAATTGGGTCTAGATAACGGCACGCGTGCCAGACCAGATCAAGGCGTGCAAACGGCACCCAAACACCGCACTCCGAATCCAGCCAGGTACTAGTGAGAGGATGAACCCAGTCAATCAGTAAATCGGTGAGCGAGTCGGGTGGCAGTGAAACGTTAGCTTAGCATGGCAGTAGCACGGTGACATAACACACGCGCGCGCTCAGATGAATGAACGCTCCTAAGTTTTTACCTTCTTGCCTGCAGTAAGACATGTCTGCTACTCTTGGCGTCCGTCCGCCGAGGTGAAAGACAGGCGGCCCAAGCGAAAAGACTCAACAAAGGGCAAGATTTCATCTGACTGCCGGGTCTAAATGGATCGCCTCGCCGCCACAGCGCTCAGCTTCTCCACCTGAGCGGCTCGCGAAGCGGCGCGGGGTGATGACGTCACATGACCGGCGTGACCTCTTTCATACTGTACTTATTCTTTTGCTTGCTCATCTATCTACAAAAATAAAGAGTTAATAATTTATTGATTACTAGTTGGTTATTTTCTGTCTTTTCGTCACGTACATTCGACTAGTTTGACATGCGCACTTTGCAAATTGCAAGCAACGGCTTTCATGGACGCCCCGCTTATACCGTCCCAAATAGATTGTCTTTGTACTGTATTCAGTTAAAGATAGGTTGAACATGATTAGAAAAATCATTGGATTCCGTTTTTTATGTTTAACACAACGTCCAGACTTCATTGGAATTGGGTTTGTAATTGCATCCGGTTTCTATTCACCGTCTCCCTGTTTCACGGGTAATGTGGATCACAAGTTACAATAGCAAATATTCTTTCAAGCCCCCCAACTAAATTTGGCTTGTGTTTCGCTTGCTTTTAAGCGCTGATTTACTGTCAAAACCAGTTCGCTAGACCCTGGGCACTAGCTCATACAAGTGACAAGCCTTGATTAGTGGGGTGTGGTCTCCTGTTTAATCTTTACCCCTGTGCACTCTGTTGATAATCTGTGCCTGCCTGCCTTTTTCCAAATCATTTCCTTCAACTGGAGACTTCTGGTGCAAGGAGGAAGCATGCGCAATCAGTTTTCAAAATCAAGAGTTTGAGGAACAGCAAACTTCTTGGTGCATTTGTGCTGCGAGTCGATACTTGGGACCTTGGTGATGTGTGAAATGTTTGATTTTTAGTTGGTTTTTTTTCCGAGTGGAATAGAAATGCCACTTTTAGAGTTGATCCAAAGTAAGACAGTTCAAAACTGACATGCTGTCAAGAAAACTTTCAATGAAGGAAAAACATTTCCAATTGTTGGAAAAAAAACTTTTAATAACAGTTATGTCTGTTACATAATAGTAAAAACCAAAATGAACCCCCGCTTTGCATCCATATCAAACCGACCGTCTTACTGACCCACCGTGCAGTTTTGTGCAGTGATTCAGTCCGGGAATGAAAGAGCAAGACAGTTCAGACGATCAATTTTACTTTACCAGCCAGAGGTATAGGACAAACGTACTGTGTCCTACCTATAGAACAGAGGACCAGAGTGAATATGAACAGTCCGTCATTGAGAATACAAACGTCAAGGGTAAATGTGAGCAACTTGCCCAGATAACAGAAAGAAGAAAATTTTGTTCATACTCATCGCATCTCGCTCACAACTCCCCATCAAATGACTGACATGGCTTTCCTTGAGACATCTTAATGCCTGGAATTCATGTTTTGTCATAGTGTTCTTCGTGGAAAAATGCCCAAGGTGAGTCTAAGACAGCACCGCGCACGCACACGCACACACACACACACACACAAGTTGAGGGATTCTTCCGCTGATGAAAACAGTTGGTGGGCCAGTCGAGCCCTCCGTGATGGTAAGGCGTAAAAGAAATGGACTGGCGACAATACCAAGTTCAAAGCAGGGAGAAAACAAAATGGGTCTCTTGACAATGCAAGAGAGACAAAAGGTGTCAAATAATTAATCCCCAATGCAAAATGAACTGATAGTGCAAACTGCCCCCCCCCCAAAAAAAGACGGAACGCACAAGAGTGACACGGTATAGAGGTGCTGCACATGGTCGACTTGGCATTTTCTAGAAGAGCAGTGCACCCATGCTCCCCACTTCGCTCTGCTCTTTCACAAAGATCTCAAAGTACTGGTAGATGATGGTCACAGCCAAGAGGATTCCCGTGCCGGAGCCGATGGCGCCCAGGAAGTCGGCCATGACAGAGAGGCCTCCTATACAAAGGCCCCCAAAGGCAGCAGCGGTGGGGATGTACCTGCAAAACGGGAAAGGAAACTCCAACCGATGCCATCCAGTTCACGGGCGTTTCTCGCGGGGAGCGAGGAGAGAGATCCGTTTCCGCATCCGTACCTGTTCAGCTCGTGCACCATGGAAGTCTCTCGGCTGGGCACTAGCTCATACAAGTGACAAGCCTTGATTAGTGGGGTGTGGTCTCCTGTTTAATCTTTACCCCTGTGCACTCTGTTGATAATCTGTGCCTGCCTGCCTTTTTCCAAATCATTTCCTTCAACTGGAGACTTCTGGTGCAAGGAGGAAGCATGCGCAATCAGTTTTCAAAATCAAGAGTTTGAGGAACAGCAAACTTCTTGGTGCATTTGTGCTGCGAGTCGATACTTGGGACCTTGGTGATGTGTGAAATGTTTGATTTTTAGTTGGTTTTTTTTCCGAGTGGAATAGAAATGCCACTTTTAGAGTTGATCCAAAGTAAGACAGTTCAAAACTGACATGCTGTCAAGAAAACTTTCAATGAAGGAAAAACATTTCCAATTGTTGGAAAAAAAACTTTTAATAACAGTTATGTCTGTTACATAATAGTAAAAACCAAAATGAACCCCCGCTTTGCATCCATATCAAACCGACCGTCTTACTGACCCACCGTGCAGTTTTGTGCAGTGATTCAGTCCGGGAATGAAAGAGCAAGACAGTTCAGACGATCAATTTTACTTTACCAGCCAGAGGTATAGGACAAACGTACTGTGTCCTACCTATAGAACAGAGGACCAGAGTGAATATGAACAGTCCGTCATTGAGAATACAAACGTCAAGGGTAAATGTGAGCAACTTGCCCAGATAACAGAAAGAAGAAAATTTTGTTCATACTCATCGCATCTCGCTCACAACTCCCCATCAAATGACTGACATGGCTTTCCTTGAGACATCTTAATGCCTGGAATTCATGTTTTGTCATAGTGTTCTTCGTGGAAAAATGCCCAAGGTGAGTCTAAGACAGCACCGCGCACGCACACGCACACACACACACACACACACAAGTTGAGGGATTCTTCCGCTGATGAAAACAGTTGGTGGGCCAGTCGAGCCCTCCGTGATGGTAAGGCGTAAAAGAAATGGACTGGCGACAATACCAAGTTCAAAGCAGGGAGAAAACAAAATGGGTCTCTTGACAATGCAAGAGAGACAAAAGGTGTCAAATAATTAATCCCCAATGCAAAATGAACTGATAGTGCAAACTGCCCCCCCCCCCAAAAAAAGACGGAACGCACAAGAGTGACACGGTATAGAGGTGCTGCACATGGTCGACTTGGCATTTTCTAGAAGAGCAGTGCACCCATGCTCCCCACTTCGCTCTGCTCTTTCACAAAGATCTCAAAGTACTGGTAGATGATGGTCACAGCCAAGAGGATTCCCGTGCCGGAGCCGATGGCGCCCAGGAAGTCGGCCATGACAGAGAGGCCTCCTATACAAAGGCCCCCAAAGGCAGCAGCGGTGGGGATGTACCTGCAAAACGGGAAAGGAAACTCCAACCGATGCCATCCAGTTCACGGGCGTTTCTCGCGGGGAGCGAGGAGAGAGATCCGTTTCCGCATCCGTACCTGTTCAGCTCGTGCACCATGGAAGTCTCTCGGTGTCCCCTCATCACCATCTGCTGCTCTTTCAGCTGCTTCGCCACCTGACGTCCACCCGACAAACAAGAGCGAACGTGAAAGCGAGCCCTCGGTGAAAGGTCAAGTCCCGCGCACGCGCGCAAGACGCACATCTTTGGCAGAGGATCCCGAGACTTCGATCCAGGTCTTGGAGAAGAAGGCGCAGGAGCCGAGCATGAAGACAATGTAGATGACGGCGTGGACCGGGTCGTCCAGCACGGAACCGAAGGACTCCGGAGGCGACAGGTAGTAACACAGGCCGCCGACCGGGTAGGCTCGAGCCGGCCCGCCGGTCGATGTGTCCTGCGTGAGTCAGACAAGAGAAGCCAATTGGAGGTGGGGTGCGTACCGACAAGGGTGCTTCGAGACGTTGCCCCTGGCCCCCACTTACAGACCACGTTCCCAAGAGGTTCACCAGGAAGTTGCCACTGAAGCGCGTCGACAGCATTTGGGAGATGACGTAGAGGTTGGAGACCAAGGCCGACTGCAGGATGATGGGGATGTTGGAGGTGTAGAACAGTTTGATGGGGTAGGTGTTGTATTGGCCGCGATAGCGGGCCGACTTGATGGGGAGGTCCACCCGGAAGCCCTGAGACGGAGGTTCGGGACATGTTCAGCAGACACACACACGACACCCTAAATCGCTCAATGTCGTGCCTGTCCGATCGGTACAAATCTTTCCGGTTCTTGCTTTTCTGTCTTTCCCGGACCACTGCCCAAGTTTTTCATTCCACTATATTATTTTAGTTTTTGTAACTTTATGAGTTGAGGGTTTTTGTTTTTTTTAGTTTGACCATCTTTAATATACTGCTTCTCTTCTGCTGCTCCGTGTCTTTTGAATGTGTCCGGCCTATAGTTGGTTGATGGCGGTCTCACAAGGGAGGCAGCCATCGCCCGCCGTGTTGTTTTGGCATCGGTAACAGCACAAGCCTTCCTCAATATGCCTGAGTCAGGTGAATTCATTTAGCCGGTGCTTGTCAAAGCCACTGGCTCGTGCGCTTTCAAGCGCACGAGCCGAAGACTGACGGCATTATGGGTGCGTGCTTACCTGGAAGTATATGACCACCGCAAACACAAAGACCGTGGCAATGAGGTTCATGAGGTTGGGCAGGTTTTGCCGGTAGAAGGCTTCTCGCAGGGCGCGCACTTTGTCCGTGCGAGTGGCCAGCAGATGAAAGAGCGCGATGATGGCGCCCTCAAACTCGGTACCTGCGCAAACCGGAGGAGGGCTGAGTTGCGCCCCGGCGCTCGCATTTGAACCTGCGCTCGGGGTGTGCGGGAGCGGCGGCCAGACCTCGTCCGGTGTTGACGGTGGTGGGGCTAAAAGCCTTCCAGACGATGGTCTCGCAAATGTTGGTGGCGATGAAAAGAGAAATGCCGGAACCCAGGCCGTAGCCTTTCTGGAGCAGCTCGTCCAGCAGCAGAACTATCAGACCTGCGACGAAGAGCTGAACAAACCGAGATGCTTTCAGCAAACGCCGACCGCTCAGACTCTCAGTGATCGGTACCCAAGACCGAGAAAAGTTTGGTGACGCGGTCACATTTCACATTCAGGTTTAAATGCCGCATCTGTGCGGCTCGATACGCATCACGGTATGCATCGTAAAACCTTGATTCTTTATTCCTTACTTTTGCCACAGGGATGAAATGATCGGGGTTGCCCGCAAACTAATGCCGCCTCTTCAAAATCTTTCCTGAGTGAGCAGAGTTGAAGCAATGGAGAGTGTGACTCCTTTTCACCTGGATGATGATGAGTAAGCAGATTCCAGCACCCATCTCTGAAGGGTCCCCATACATGCCAGTCATGACGTACACGATGGCCTGCCCGATGGTGATGATCATGCCAAACACTGCGACAACGCAGAGCATTATTTCCAACAGTGTTGCTCACGACAAATTGACCGGCATCAAAAACTAGCTCTTGGGGGTGAGGGGGCGGGGGAGTACATTTCTGGGCACCATTGAAGAGAGCGCGGTCCTTAGGAGTGTCTCCCACCTCGATGATCTTGGCGCCGGCAAGGAGCTGCATGATGAGGCCTGAGGTGACGATGGGCGAGATACCCAGCTCCATCAGAGTACCTGAAGACGCAAACACAGTCAGCACGCGAGAGCCGCGGGCCACGCGCTCAGCCCTGACACAGACGGCCTTCGACCCACCACACCTGATAGTGAGACTGTCACAACCGAGAACAAGCAAACAAGTCGGCGGTCTCGAATGTGTGACCCAGTTAATATTTTTGCATCGCGCTTGCTCTCATTCAGGTCGTGGTGAATCTATGCTAGCTGATTTGGGGGAGAGATGGGGCATATCATGGGCTGGTTGCCAAGCAATCGCAGGGACCCACATTGACAACCAAGTAAATACTCAAACCCATTCTCTCACTCACTCACTCACTCACTCACTCACTCACTCACTCACTCACTCACTCACACAATGGCACCATGGGACAATTTGGCATCTCCAATGGACCTCAAAAGCTTTTGAAAACGTTTGGGACGCGGGACGAAGCCGTAGAATTCAGAGAAAACACGTGCTGTGCTGCCCAATGGCAAAAATCAAAGCACATATTTCGTGCAAGCACCTCTGTTGGAAGCCAGAATGACTCGCATCCAGTAGAAGGGATCTGCCGAATCCGACGACATGATGCCAAAGAGAGGAATCTAATTTGAAGAAAGAAACAACGTTTACCTGCCACGTACAACACAAAGACCCCCAAAAGACACATTTACAGATCAGAGAGCGCTCAAGAAACCAACCTGGCAGCACACCAGGAAGATGAAGAGCGTGATGGCTGTCCATAGTACTTTTTCTCGAAACTGAATCTGTGAGGTACATTTTAAAAATAGCAAACATGAACCGTGATACTCCTGATCGTATGCGATGAGCAGACACACTACATATCTACGACCGGCTTACCTTTCTTTCTGGTTTCTGAATTTCTGGTAGGACCGCACAGAACGGTTTGATGACCTCCAAAAATTTAACTGCAAAAGAATAACAACACGGTATGTTTTAAACAATCACGGCGAAGTCCGTATTCGCTCCGTTTCGTTACAGCGCGACCTGCCGTGGATGCTACGTCATCACTCAGCCAGCGGCCACCACACAAACTAAATCTGAGCGTCTGTTCATCTAGCAGATGCTACGGGAGTCGCCTTGTTCCTTTTTTATTGGTGCCAGAATAAGAAACGGCGATTCAAAAAACGGGTTCAACAAAACAAATCAACAGCATATCGTTTGCGAGACCTGAACATCTTACGAGGTCAGGTCCTGCCAACTCCCACCGAAACAGACTTTGACAGCCATTGAATTTTCTCATCCCATCCCTTTCAGGTGGCCCGTAGACAAATGGGTTTTTGAAGAAAATGATCTATTATATCCAATCTGAACGTTGCCAAGCCTTTAGCGTGTGGCTAGCTAGCATTCAATCACAAACAGATTGCGCAAATGGCTTCAAAGCAGCAAACTCTGGCGTCGGATCATGGCGGCGAAGTTCGGAACGGCTCCGGATCGTGATGCGGTGTTTCACTTCTTCAACACCTTGACGTAGATCTCAGTTAAAACTTGACCATTCGCTCTGGCGTAAGCTAGCTCGACTTGCTACCTCCAGAGCTTCGGTTAGCCAATTAGCATGCCGTCCATTCGTTTCACATTTTCAAAAGAACAACCGCAGCCAATCGTCCATGCCGAACAGCCGTCAACATTTGGGTGGAATTGCAAGAATCCGCACGTACTTCCCATGGTATCCTTGGGCCGACTCCGCCGAGTGAATGTTACCAGTTGTCTTGCTGCCTTGAGTCAGTGTGGCTCCATCCAGCAGCTCGTTGAGAAAAGAGCGAGCGAGAGAGACACGTCACCACACCAGCCGCTAAACACACGTCACTTCTTTGGCTAGGACGTGCACGACTTGTGTGTATGTAGGGGAGTGGGGATGGCGCCTGGATCACATTATACAGACTGACAAATTGCATCCACGGCCATTCGTGCACATGAAACGTACAAACGAGCGATGTGTTACATTTGGCGGATTTGAAATCGGGTTTGGGACGAGGATGTCGCCACGTCTTAAGAGGGCGCGCTACAAAAGCATGCGCTCAAAACACATCCCGACTGGCGCGCGAAGAAGACTCTTGCTGATAAATGCTCTGCAACCTACTTCCGCATCGGGCAAAACGTGTTAAAAGTAATCGTGGGTATCTTAAAGGCCTCCAGTGACGGCGACAGCTTCAGTTGAACATCCATCCATTTTCGAATCCGCTTTATCCTCATAAGGGTCGCGCGAGAGCCTATCCCAGCCGTCTTCGGGCAGTAGGCGGGGGACACCCTGAACCGGTTGCCAGCCCTGCTTACTCACGATGGCATACTTCTTGGCTCATAAATCAGGTTGCCCCACAGTCAGCACGCGAGAGCCGCGGGCCACGCGCTCAGCCCTGACACAGACGGCCTTCGACCCACCACACCTGATAGTGAGACTGTCACAACCGAGAACAAGCAAACAAGTCGGCGGTCTCGAATGTGTGACCCAGTTAATATTTTTGCATCGCGCTTGCTCTCATTCAGGTCGTGGTGAATCTATGCTAGCTGATTTGGGGGAGAGATGGGGCATATCATGGGCTGGTTGCCAAGCAATCGCAGGGACCCACATTGACAACCAAGTAAATACTCAAACCCATTCTCTCACTCACTCTCTCACTCACTCACTCACTCACTCACTCACTCACTCATACAATGGCACCATGGGACAATTTGGCATCTCCAATGACCTCAAAAGCTTTTGAAAACGTTTGGGACGCGGGACGAAGCCGTAGAATTCGGAGAAAACACGTGCTGTGCTGCCCAATGGCAAAAATCAAAGCACATATTTCGTGCAAGCACCTCTGTTGGAAGCCAGAATGACTCGCATCCAGTAGAAGGGATCTGCCGAATCCGACGACATGATGCCAAATAGAGGAATCTAATTTGAAGAAAGAAACAACGTTTACCTGCCACGTACAACACAAAGACCCCCAAAAGACACATTTACAGATCAGAGAGCGCTCAAGAAACCAACCTGGCAGCACACCAGGAAGATGAAGAGCGTGATGGCTGTCCATAGTACTTTTTCTCGAAACTGAATCTGTGAGGTACATTTTAAAAATAGCAAACATGAACCGTGATACTCCTGATCGTATGCGATGAGCAGACACACTACATATCTACGACCGGCTTACCTTTCTTTCTGGTTTCTGAATTTCTGGTAGGACCGCACAGAACGGTTTGATGACCTCCAAAAATTTAACTGCAAAAGAATAACAACACGGTATGTTTTAAACAATCACGGCGAAGTCCGTATTCGCTCCGTTTCGTTACAGCGCGACCTGCCGTGGATGCTACGTCATCACTCAGCCAGCGGCCACCACACAAACTAAATCTGAGCGTCTGTTCATCTAGCAGATGCTACGGGAGTCGCCTTGTTCCTTTTTTATTGGTGCCAGAATAAGAAACGGCGATTCAAAAAACGGGTTCAACAAAACAAATCAACAGCATATCGTTTGCGAGACCTGAACATCTTACGAGGTCAGGTCCTGCCAACTCCCACCGAAACAGACTTTGACAGCCATTGAATTTTCTCATCCCATCCCTTTCAGGTGGCCCGTAGACAAATGGGTTTTTAAAGAAAATGACCTCCTATTAAATCCAATCTGAACGTTGCCAAGCCTTTAGCGTGTGGCTAGCTAGCATTCAATCACAAACAGATTGCGCAAATGGCTTCAAAGCAGCAAACTCTGGCGTCGGATAATGGCGGCGAAGTTCGGAACGGCTCCGGATCGTGATGCGGTGTTTCACTTCTTCAACACCTTGACGTAGATCTGAGTTAAAACTTGACCATTCGCTCTGGCGTAAGCTAGTTCGACTTGCTACCTCCAGAGCCTCAGTTAGCCAATTAGCATGCCGTCCATTCGTTTCACATTTTCAAAAGAACAACCGCAGCCAATCGTCCATGCCGAACAGCCGTCAACATTTGGGTGGAATTGCAAGAATCCGCACGTACTTCCCATGGTATCCTTGGGCCAACTCCGCCGAGTGAATGTTACCAGTTGTCTTGCTGCCTTGAGTCAGTGTGGCTCCATCCAGCAGCTCGTTGAGAAAAGAGCGAGCGAGAGAGACACGTCACCACACCAGCCGCTAAACACACGTCACTTCTTTGGCTAGGACGTGCACGACTTGTGTGTATGTAGGGGAGTGGGGATGGCGCCTGGATCACATTATACAGACTGACAAATTGCATCCACGGCCATTCGTGCACATGAAACGTACAAACGAGCGATGTGTTACATTTGGCGGATTTGAAATCGGGTTTGGGACGAGGATGTCGCCACGTCTTAAGAGGGCGCGCTACAAAAGCATGCGCTCAAAACACATCCCGACTGGCGCGCGAAGAAGACTCTTGCTAATAAATGCTCTGCAACCTACTTCCGCATCGGGCAAAACGTGTTAAAAGTAATCGTGGGTATCTTAAAGGCCTCCAGTGACGGCGACAGCTTCAGTTGAACATCCATCCATTTTCGAATCCGCTTTATCCTCATAAGGGTCGCGCGAGAGCCTATCCCAGCCGTCTTCGGGCAGTAGGCGGGGGACACCCTGAACCGGTTGCCAGCCCTGCTTACTCACGATGGCATACTTCTTGGCTCATAAATCAGGTTGCCCGCGCAGACTAATCTCTCCATCGGTCTATTTGAGATTCACGGTCCAAATTGCAATTCGTGAAATACATTTTTTCTGACGGTATAAACCGAAAGTCCAGCACAGAGCACAGATCCTTCGTCGTGATCATCTTTCCTGCTTGCTCCTCTTAACAACGAAGTAGATTCGACTTAGATCTTCACTTTCCACATCAGTTTGCCAACAAACTGTGCGCCCAGAACCCGAATAACGTTTACCTGGTGAATTTGACGCCCGATTTGAACCGAGTCGTGAAAAAGGACAGCATCCAACAGACAGGCGGCAATGACTTTATCGGTCCACTGGATGGCGGCATACCGCCGGTGTAGTTGAAAGTCCACGCGACATTCGTTCCTCGGCTTGGTGAACAAACTGTCAAAAGGGGATCCACTGAAGGTTTAACCATTATGAAACAAGCCAAGTTTTTTTTTTGTCTATTTCTTTTTTTTATGCAGTCAAAAAAGGGCGCACCGATCCTATTCTACTATTTGAATGCCTCCTGTGAGATGTCAACAAGAAGCAAAACAATCTCGGCGGCAACATATTAACGCTGGACATTCACACCCTCAGTTGTCTTTGGATGGGTGACGTTAGGTGTTTTTGTGTTTATTTCAAAACCGAGTGCAATGTGCTTTGTTCACTCGAGTCATAAATAGTCCCGTAAAAGCTAAGTGTTGGCATTGCAAGTGGGTCTGCAGCCTTGCGCTTCTTGAGTCCGGGAGCAATATTGACACCAAGGCATCATATGAGGAAAACCACTGCAATGAATTTGTGTGTGTGTGTGTGTGTGTGTGTGTCCAGCCCGCTGCAAGTGACTGCACAGAAGCGGCGAGGGGACAGTTCAGGCGGCGGGGCAGAGACCGTCGGACCTGTTGCCAAGTCCACCCACTCGACGGCAGGCTCCACTTTGCCATACAGAAGCTTGACACGTGAAAAAAAACAGGGCGGGGGGACTAAAAATACTCGGCTTTATTTGTTCATCTCCAGCGGATTACATTCGACATCCAAGAAGAGCACGCGGTTTCAGCAGCAAAGGTAACATCAACTCTGTCGGATTCCATCATCTGTAGGTTGCCCGACGCAACAGAAAGCTCTGCAGCCGACCCATCGGGCTCTCCCGATGCAGCGGCAGGCCCTCCTCGGGGCTCCCCTCCTCCTCCTCCTCCTCCAGGAGCTGCTCCATGTACCAGGAGGAGCCCAGCAGGATGTGGCCAGTGGCCTGCATGGAGAAGGCGGTCCATCGCAAAGCCTCCCTGCAAGCACCGCACAAACACGCGTGACATTATTCCCGCCGGAGGAGGCGCTTGATTCGACGCACTGATGTGACAAACGTGCCGTGCCGATACTGAACGAGAACTCTTTTTGGATGTCAAGCATAAGCGCGACAAACATGGTGCTCTACGGTGGTACGAAACGTCATCCTCTCCCCACAAGGTCTGCGCCAGAGCGGAGCGCTGGCACCTCTTTGGCGATGACAAAATTCATCTCAGGAAAAAAAAAGAAAAAAGTCGAGCCCATTCCACCTCTGCCACACCCACACGGGCTGGAAGAGTAATGCGCTCTCCTGCGCGGGACGAGTTTTTGCCCCGCACGCAGGGTCTAGCTCGTCATGTATTTGCCGCGCTCATCGTCATTCGTGCTGTGAAAGCAATGCAAGAGGTTGGCGGAGAGAGAAGGACCCGTGGCTTCCTCACGTGAACGGCGCCATCCACCAGGACGTCGGGCACTCACTTCAACATCTTTTTGGCCTCAGAACAGCGCACTTCGTAGGACAGGGAGTAGACGCCGTACAGTGTCGCTTTGACATTCAAGCAGCCGATGAAATCACTGGGGTGGCTTTTGTACAGGTCAAAGGTTAGCTTGGCCACATCCAGCCGGCGCTGCGGCATGCGATTGCTGAGCTCGTCTCTGGAGGGGGCGCTCTGGAGAAACGCAGGCAGGTCAAAAGGGTCGCCAAACCTCACAGATGTCAACTCTGCTTCCAAACATCAAGCGATGGACACTGTTGATCTGCAGCGCCCCCTAGTGGGCAATATGTACCTGAGGCGGGGTCCACTTCTGCCCTTCCTCCAGCACCATGAGGACAGTGTTATCAGGCAGCGTCGTGAAGAACTCCTCCGTGTCCACACCTGTGCCGTCTTCCTCCAGGACCAGGCCGCTGGCACACAGCACGTTTAACGAGTCGCCGACCTACACGGGGCACAAACGGACCCATTCATTGGGAACCGTGGCTGCAGTCCATCTCGTCAGGAAGCAGATTCGTTACGACGTTTTTGCTTTCAGCGGCGTCACATCCAGTGCGCTACCGGTGCTGAATTAAGGGGGTGCCGGGCCACTCAATTAGGGGTCTTTTTTTTTTCTTTGCTTCCCTCTGCTCGCACCTTGTTAATCAGGTCTTCCAACGCATCCGCCATGACGCCCTTCTTCAAACTGCGGTCGGCATTCGTCACTCGGAATGGTTTTGGCCGAGACGCTCGCCTTGACAGAAGCTGCTGGGTCATGGATGCGCTGGCTGACATGCTGGCAGTCACGCACCTGATGGAGGAGAGGAGAGGAGAGGGAAGGGTGGTGATGCCAGGGTGCCTTTTCCTCTCATTTCCTTCCAGGGCGCCTCATCTTACTTGGAGAAGGACGACAAGGTCAGGAGGTTAAGAGATTTGCGGGCATAATCCATCACTGGAGCGACAACTCCACAACCTGCGGGACAAAGCCGGGAATGAACACGGCGCTTCAAAGTTGGCTCACGTTGAAAAAAAGGTGAAGAAATACACACCGTTCGCTCGTCATGCAAACACGTCAGAAAAAGTACAGAGACAAAACTCTTACGGGCAAAAAAGCTGCAACGGCTCTTCCCAACGACTGCTCCAAAATAATCCTTCCGACGGTCGTCGCTATCTTCCTGTGCCAAGTTAAGCCTCAGCGAAAATGCGCACTCTCCCTTCTCCAGATGACTGTGAATGACGGTGGTGACAGCTGGCCAGTGAACCTTGTACAGTGAAGCAAGTCAAATGCCATTGGGCAAAACTGCATGCCTCGCCCCCTCCCTTTGAATGTCCTGGACTGACACCAAGTCAAAGTGGATAAAAGTTCGGCAAAATTCCCTCTCTGTTGGCGTGTATCTGGGGGGTTTGTCAGAAAACGTGACTGCGCGCTGACAATCCTAACACATCAGGAAAGACAAAACTGAAGACATTTGTTTCAAAAGGAAAAAAAGGAAACAAATGTTGGTGCATTCGAGATGACATTTTGACTTGACAGCACATTTGACGGGAGCCGATACATACAAATGATCATGTGGCTGAATTTGAAATACTTGTGTGTGGTGTTGGCTCTCGTGTTAAAAAGAAAAGTGAGAAATCGTTTATTTTGTCGAAGCTAACCATGTGGTACAAAAAAAAAAAAGCATAACACTTGGCGCTCAGTGATCTTAAGTCTGATATAATCAGAAAGTCTTACTTGGGCTAAGAGAAGAGTAACTAAATGATGTGGAGGATCCATCATTTGCAAAATTTCAAGCATTTACTGAAATACTTGATCGGCAGCAAGCAAGAAGGTCCTCTGTGCAGCTCAGTTTAACAGTATTAGAAGCACATTAAAGCGCATTCACAGCCTCCATTCGAAATGAGACAAACAATATGAGAGCTGTGGGACTGTTGCTTTCACGTATTCGAAAACCAATCACCCATTTGCAAAGTATTCGCAACGTTGTACGATTTGAAAAGCGTGCATTAAGAGATACACGATAGATAGATCCAAGATATATGTGTATTAAGAAAGAAAACAAAGTCAGACTTACGTGTTAGTTGAATGCTCGCCCAGTTGCCGACGCGCACGCTGCTGTTCGTTGAACACACCTGGCCCACGTTTCGGAGTGATTGCGGCGTGTCCTGTCACTTGCGGTTATAACCGGAAGTCGTTAATTGATGTCGCGTTATCTTTATTTGTTCGGTGCGTCTTCAGTTGTTGGCGCAAACCACCGTGTAAATAGCAAACGACTAATTGATCATGAACTACTACTAATAAATGAGATTGCGAGGGGGGGTGGGGCGTGCCGGGGCCCACCCCCGGCCGTCTTCGGGGAGTCGGCCCGATCCGCCCTTTGAACTGGTCGCCGGCCAATCGCAGGCCACACAGAGCCATCCGACATCCGTTCGCACTCTCAATCGCACTATTTCGAGCACTAGTGTCAAAGTCGAGGCCCGGGGGCCAGATCCGGGCCACCGCATCATTTTAGGTGGCCATGCAAAAAGCTTCCGCGATGCTTGCTGAAATTTCAAATTGTCATATGTAATTCATAAGAACAACGTTTGAACAAGCCATTATTCTTGACTTCTGATTTCAAATCTATTTATCCACCAATGTGTTGTGTAGGTGATTCAACATGTATATGGTTTCACAAAATTCACCGGCCCCCCAAGGCAAACCAGCCCTACAATGTGGCCTGTGACAAAAATGAGTTTGACACACCTGATTTAGGGTGATCAATTAACATAGCGTGCATTTTTTTCTCTGCGCTGTGGAAGGAAACGTGGAGAAAACCCACGTAGGTACGGGGAGAACGTGCAAATGTCACACGGGAAGGCGGAAGCCCGGATTCAAACCCTCAACTTCTGTACTGTGAGGCGAACGTGTCTTTCACTGTGCCAAGACATCCGCCGCTCAGTCATTTTTTTTCTGCTGGTTTTCTGAGCTTTACATCAGTTTCAAGTTGACGGGCAGTCGTAAAAAAGGGGAGTCTCAAACTCCAATGTGACTCAGATGAACAGTTGATTTCCTTCTGGTGAATCACATTTCACGCTCAGTGCAGGAGCCCAGCGGAATCATGCTGCAACATCGTCTTCTCGAGGGGAGCGGATAAAGCACCGAGACTTCACGAGTAGCCCACAAGTGTCAAATGCGGCCGGCGTTGCAAGCCGAGGCTATGATACGCAAGCTCCGCTCTTCCTTTTCTTCCCGGGGGTCGATCTTCCCCCTTGCGCGCTGGTCGTGTTTGTCGGCCGGCCCCGGTGAGGGGCCTGACGCGCGATTTCTGTTCAAGGGCTCGCCGGCGCAGAGGGAAATGAATACGACTTGAGCAAAACAAACAGAACCATCATGTTTAATTCCACAGGCTTCGTTTGAATTCGTGGCATGCAAAAACACAAGGAAGACGAGATGGACGAGACGGCGGTGCGGCTCTTTCCTCATCTACAAGTGATGTCAAAGGGCACGCACAGGTATTCGCCGGTGATACGAGGAGAAAGGAAGACCCAGGCTCAAGTTGTATCCGAGCTACTCACGCTGTCGGCGATGTGGCGCCTTGAATGTTTGTTCTCCATCTGCCGCTTTCCTGCCTCCCCCGGGCCCCGGCATGCTCGATTCTCGTTCCTCTTGCCGATGCGCGCCATCAGTTGCGCATTGGCCGCCGCTTTGGTCCTCAGGTCCTGGTTCTTGGCCAGGTCTATGAGGACGCTGAGGATACTGGTGGGCACATCGAGAGACAGGGCAAAGCGGGACGCCGGCTGGGCTCTCTTCGGCATCCGCTGCACAAGCGCGCGGTCCCCGGCGGGTGGCCACCAATTCGACACGCCGCCGCGGTTCGTGACGCCCACGGCGAGCACGCTTCTCCTCGCGTCCTCCTCCGAGTCAGCGAGAGGGGCACCGATCCTCGGAGCCGGGACCCCGCGAGCCAGCGGGGAGGCGGAGCACAGGCACAGGCACAGGTACAGGCGCAGGCACAGGCGCAAGCGCGCTGTCTTCATGCTCCCGGGTCTGTTGATGCAAATTCAAGGCAAGGCAAGGCAGGGCAAGGCAGCTTAGAGCCCTTCAGACACAAAGCGACTCACTTAACGCGTCCTTCAAATAGTTAGGGAGCAACATTGAACGGCAACAGAAGTAACAACATTTGAAAGCAGAGAGTTAAAAAAAAGTCGTTGACCAAAATGACCAAAAGAACGCAGAGCGCAACAACATGATTTGGGGACAAAAACGATGAGAGAGATGCGCGAGAAAAGACCTTCCTCATAGGCAGGGGGGGACAAGCGTGCGATTGTTCTAACCTGGATTGAAAGGACGAGGTCATTCGAACAAACTGCTTCGAAGCACTCCACACGAGAATACACGGGCAAATCGGACAATACGACAACTTCGAAGGTGTCGCCGATGAGCACAACTTACTCAGTGTCGCGATGGCGGATTGTCGGTGACTTGGAGAAACAAAAAAGGCACCTCAACTTCCAGCGCTGGAAAGAATTTGACTAGTTGAGTAACCAAGCCACCCCGCCCCCAAAATAAATAAGAAAAAAACGGTCCTCTGTCTCCTCCTTGGTAACGACAGGAGCGACCGGCGTGTCACGCAGCCGGACGTTCAAGCGGCACCGTGACCCCGCTCTTTACCGCCGTCCCCTCTCTCTGTTGGATGTGCCCCCCCCTCCCTTCTTGAAATCTCATTTCCTCCACCGTCATTGTGATGGCTTTCTCCCGTCTAAAAATAACACGATGGCACTCATTTGCCCGCGATGTCGCGGACGGTCAGCACAAAGAAGAAAAGTGTCGTTCTGCAAAACCTCGGATGCCGCGCACATGCGCGAGCGAGTTTGAGTCGATGGCTACACTCGCGCGGGCATTTGATTCGTCATGCGCAAGAGCAACATAGCGAACGGGATTACAGTGAGAAGACTGACCACAGAAATGAGGATCATTTTTTGCGTGCGTAGCCTCCAATATCCCTCGGGGCGTCCGCATTCACGTTCGCGTTTCTCGTCCTGACGAGCGTGCGGTGCGTGTCGCTCCAATACGGAACCAGAGCGACTGACGACTCACGGGAGGAGGCCAGTCCCCAAAATGTGCTCGTCAGTCACGTGTTTCCACGCATCCCCGCTAGTCTAAACCCCGTATTCTGATTCATACAGTGAAACTCCTCTACAACGAAACCTACATGGGCGAAAATAACCCCTAATGTGAAAAAATGTTCATGCATGAAAGCCATTAATGTTGTTGGTAACTCATCGAAGAGGACTTATGGACTTTGTTAATTGAACTCCTCTCGTCGCGTTTCACCGTGTCCTGTTGTGTAACATCCCAGCGGTGGATGATCCCACATTGGAGGTGCGCAGAGTCGGCGGCGGAGCGGCAAGAAGGAAAAACGACACGGCAGCCGGGGGGATGTCGGGCCGAGAACGACCTCATCTCCTGAAGTACCTCCGGTGCATCTCATCACTGAAGCGCTCCTCATCTCGCTAATGACTTGGAGTTAATAAACACAGACGATGGCCGGGCCCTCGGGGCTCTTGCGGCAAGAGGAGACATTGCGGATGCAGATCAACAAACGCGCCTCGCGCAGATGTCGGCCCTCCTCCATACAAATGTTCACGATTTGTACCAGTCGGTCGCGTGGCTGTCACTAATACAGCGCCAAGAAGATTAGGTTACGATTCAAAGCGCATCATCCGGGCAGCCAGTTTGGTCACACGGAGTTTCTCGCGGAGGCTCCGCGTCAGTGTGTGAGCTCATTCGGATGTACTGGCTCATAGATCTGTCCAAGTGAGGTTGAACCCAAATTGTCTTGCGGCGCTGGCGCTTCAAAGGGAACGCGACCTCTCTTCGACAGCCGTCAGTCCCGACCAGGGGGGGCCTCGGCTCGCTTGCGTGGCGCCAGAGGTCATCGGGAGGATGACCTCTCGAGAAATGAGCCACTGACACTTCATTTGTCCGAAAACCAGGATCGACCGATTGCAGATACATCGGTGCTTCAGCAGGATATGCTGATCATGACAGAAGTCGAGGCATCCCGGATTTCACGCTCGTGTCAATCATTGAGGAAACCGAGGCCGGGTGGTCAATCGATCTCTCGTTTGCGGCTGTGCTGTGAGATTTTTCCACTGTAAAAAGCGAAAGACTCGTTTGACACTTTTATTTTCATCAGAAGGAGAGCTTCCGTTATGTACAATAGAAGACAGAAAGGATAAATAGACTCTTGCTCCAGCCGGGTTGGATTTCAGGCGCAGCGAGTCCTGATTTCAGTAGATGACTTCAAGACCCCTCAAATTAGTTAGCTGCCACCCTCACTGGCATGACAAGAGCGGGCGATCGCGAAGGTGTGGGCGGATGGCTGTCCGCGCGGACAACGGTCTGGCGTGCTCGGGCGGGGAGCAGGCACGAGGCGGCTCAAAACCTCAGCCAGTACATGGCGCTGCGCATTCTGTTGTAGTCGGGCAGCTGCTCAACGGGGCCTGAAGGAGCCATGCGGGCAAAACGAGACGGTTGAGAAAACGTCAACGCACCTTCACCGGCCATCTGTTTAGAAAGCGCAGTTGAAAGGAGGACTCACCGACAGCCGCCACCGCGGGACACTTATCGTAGATGTACTTGGAGCAGACGTCGCGCACCATCTTGGGGGTCACGGCCTGAAAAGATGCAGGGCAAGCGTGGTGGGCACAACGGGGCCGCGTTTGCCGGCAAAGGCGTCAGAGAGACTCACGTCGATGCGAGCGTCCCACTCGGCCAGGGGGATGCGCCGGCCGTAGTTGAGAACGTGCCTGCCGATGTCGTCGCAAATGGGCGTCGTTCCTATTGCAAAACCAAACGCAGACTTGTGATTGCGACGGATTCGTTTCGGTGTCGCGCGGAAGGACGGACGCGTTCCGTACCGTCGAGCTGTCCCACCATAGTGGCCTTCAGAGCATTCTTGCCTCTGGCCACATCGCTCTCGGTGACGGTGGTGCACAGATTCATCCTGCGCGAGGCACAACGAGTTGTTTGCATGGTTCAAAATGAAGCACGCAGTCGAGGCGACCCGAGCGACGAGTCCCGCTTCTCACCAGGCGTTCTGCGACCAGTGCATCATGTCATCAATGTGGTTTCTGTCGGTAACAAAGTAAATGCCCAGCAGGCCGGTGTCACTGTAGGACGAGTGAAACGCCTGGAAGCTGTGACACAGGTTCTCCTCCACCGCCAGGCGGGCCAGACGGCTGCTCATGTTCTGCAAGAAGGAGTGGACGTGGCGAGGTTTTGCCTGACAAGTTTCCTTTCCCAAAAATAAATACATCAATTCACCCGCTGGGGAGCTGAACCCTTTTAACTCCAAAGTAGACAAATTGCACCCAGCAACATGTTCGCCCGACTTTTTCGCTAACCGTTTCCATGCTACATCCTTTTGAAATGGTGCCATCAAAATGGAGGACTTGATTGAAAAAGGAAGGGAAAAAAAAACCCCAAACACTCTTAAAGGGTTCATGTTGCTATTCTATTGTTTGGGGGGGTATGCAAACAATTTCACTGCAGGCGGTGCAGGGGCAGGCTTTGAGAGCGCTCCACGGTTTCCCCTTCTGTCACGGCCACTCAACACAAGCGGGCAAAGCTTCAACCATGTTTCAGAGAGAGAGTACACGGGCGTCTAACCTTGCCGCCGCCGCAGGTGAGGTCGTAGCTTCCGATGATGGCGTTGGCCACCATGAGAGGCACCGTATCTGGGCTGGCAGCACCGGGCCCCTCCACGGCGATGGCGACGTGCGCCAGGGGCAGAGCGTCGTCACGCATGCGGATCTGCGGAGAGGCATCGCACGGGCACGTCAAGGGCATTTTGTCTGCTCTTTTGTCAAACTGGTTCCGACATCCATTTTCAACAGCGCTCATCCTGAACAGGGTCGCGGGGAGTTGCCGGAGCCACTCCCGGTTGGCTCGGGCCAAAGGCAGGCTAGACCCTGAACGTAAATCGCCCTGTAAATCCCCGTCCGCATTTTCCTGTCAGTTTTCTGACCTCTGCAAAACCGAGCGCTAAAAGGCGTCAAGTATCCTCGCAAAACTACTGCGGCAGCTCACCTCGCTTCCGGTAAATCTGCAGGGCGGCAACACCGGAACGGCGTCTCCCTCATACTCGAAGGACACGCCGCTGAAGTGAGAGCGGGCCAAAGCAAGCAGCTCCTGGTGGCTCACACCTGCATATTCAGCACATCACATGAAGGGGCGCATCTTTCCCGGATTAGCCTGCCTACAGCGGCGGGAAGAGGGCCAACCTCCGGCTGCAGCCAGAACCATGCGGGGAGCCTTGTAATGGCTGTCGATGTATTCCACAAGATCCTGGCGGCTGATATTTCTAAAAGAATTTCAAAGGACGCTTCTGAAATACTTTACGGCGCAAACGAGCAAAAGCAAACAAGTGATGGCGGCGGTCCGATTTCAGTTGGGGGTCCCCCCCCTTTTACCTGGCAGTGTTGGAGGGTCCCAGTACACTGTGGCCCAGCGCGGTACCCTGGAAAGCGGTCGCGTGCAGCAGGTCCAGACAAACTTCCTGCAGGTTGCTTTCCACTTCCTCCAGTTCGCGTAGGACGAGACCTCGCTGCTGCTCAATCTCCGCCTCGCTCAGCGAGCAGTTCTGCACCACCTCCGACAGCAGCTCGACAGCTGAGGATGCACAAGTACAAGTGTGCACCCGATTCCTCCTCAGCGCGATTGCTTTGGTGAATTTTTGACTTTGTGCAGGACCACAGAAAGCGAGCGAAATAATAATAATAATAATAAGATGATATGAAACGCGCTTCAGGGTCACGCCGGCCAGTCCGACGTTGACTTATCGGCGATAGAAAAATAATCATCCCTATTAATCGCCGGGCTGGGAAGCAAAGGCATTCTAGGTAGGTCTGCTGTGAGTCAAACCTGCCGAGCGAAGATGCCACCCGCTGCATCAGAGACGTGAATGACAAAAGCCATTTGCCCGCCATGCCATTGAGAACGACTCGAGTCAATTGATATATTTGCACGATGTGACAGTGTTTCTCCAAGACAATGACTGCACATTGAAGAAATGGTTCAGATGCCAAGTTGGGGGCGGAACAATCCGAACCGACGGAATCTCAGCGCGTGACTGTGTTTAGAAAGGTGAAGAAATGAGAGGTACACCGGGATCGCAGAACGGCTTGCGGTCCGCTTTGGAGGTTCCGCGCTACGGCACCGCATGCGAGAAAGCTATCGAGTTCTGCTACCTTGAGGCAGGTCTTTGGCCAAGGTCTTCATGTAGTATGCGGTGTGTTCCCGGGATGTGTAAGCACTCAAGTGAGCACCCAGAGAGTCCACCCGCTGCTCCAAGGCCGACTGGGGATGCTTCTTGGTTCCCTAGAGAGAAAGGACAAAAGGTGCCTGCTTTTAGGCGCAGTGAATTTTTCACTCGCTACAGGGGGATCCTGTGCCGTTTCTGCAATGGCGGTGTAACCCCGATGTGGTGCCCAAACTCATTGTTTGTGCGAGGCTCGGAACCTCAAAGAATGGCAAATCCGGGGCCCTGTGGAAAGGCATCTGAAATGGTGTCGGCGCATCAACCCGCGACTACCTTGAAAGCCATGTGCTCCAGGAAAAATCCTGTCCCGTTGGTCTTCTCACTTTCATAGCGGCTGCCGGCACTGATCCACAGTCCGACCTGAAACGAAGAAGATATATGTAGATATGGAGAAAGTGCGTGCCCATCACGAGCACAATGGCATCCACTCTTGCAGTGGTTCCATTGATGGAGTCCTTACAGTGCATGTCGCGTGTCCCGTCTCTTCCGATGCGACCCTCAACCCGTTATCCAGGGTGCTGAGACGGGTTTCGGGGGCTCCTAGCAGGCTTTGGGCATAACTGACTGAGGCCTGTCCACGCCTCAGAGACAAGAGGAGGGGCTAGAAGGGTCACATACGATTCTTATCAAGAACACATCCATTGCCATTCAGAAATGTATGGGTGAGTATGGCATCTGACGTGATCGGGTTAAGATTCCAAAAATACCAATAAAGCCATCCAATGTATTGATTATTTTAAAACAGAGCAGGCCGCATTTACTTAGAGCACAGCGTCGCGTCAACCTGAACGTATATTAAGCCTGAACTTCTCATGACAAGTTGGGAAACCTCGAAGCAAATCGAGAATAGAGCCTCGATCTGAAACAAAATACAGAATTCAAGGTCACAATGCAGACCTTCGGTTACTATGGCGACGGGCCAATAACTCGTCAGGGGACACGTTGATTGCCGATGGAAGCACGCCATTCGATTCTTTCGTCAAAGTCACCGTATTCGCTCGCTCCTATCTCAGAAGCTAAGCTATGCCAGGAGGGCAAACTGGAACATAGCAATTTCGTCGACGACGAGAACATTCGCCACAAAAAAATAAAAGAATTAATAAGAGAATGAATTCACACACGAGACCATCAACTGTCAACGAAATGATCGCCGGGAAAAGCCGGCGTCGCTATTCGTCACTTGACCTTGCTGTCGCTCCAAGCCAGCCGATGCTAAAATGCTAACAGAAGTGACCGCTTGCGCAAAGCTGCGCAAGACTTCTTCGAGTTCTTGTGGGTTCGCTTGAAAAGACTTCAGGCTTCTTATTTGATGAGCTACGTGAAGGCAGACTTACACTGCGGGTTTGGGCGAGGACACGACCCATGGTGCTTCCGACTCGGCACACAGACGCCGCCATTTCTCATTCCAGGTTAGAGAAGGGGAAGAAGAAGAAAACAACAGCTTCCGCTGTCCTCGCTCATTGTCTCTTCTTCGTTTGAGGGCTAAATTGTGTCATCCGCCTCAGGACTCTCTACCGCCGTCAAGTGTACACAACGTGCCATTGAAGGTAAAAGAGCAATTGAACCACGACAAAATGAATCTATGACCATGTTTTCGTTTGACGTTTTCGTAAATACCGCTTCTATTAATAATGGTGTGAGTTAAAAAAATACTTTTAATGGTGAATTTACAGATATTGTTTTTTTTTTGTGGCATTACATTTTTGTGTAGGTCCGATTAGGAAAGAAACAAACTTGCTTTTGTGGTGTCACCATATACAGACAGAGAGATGGAATGCATACACCTAAATAAGACCAGTCTGCATATTTGTGTGTGTGTGTGTGTGTGTGTGTGTGTGTGAGAGCGACTTCATACAAAGAATCTAAAGCGACGTTTCTCAAAGCTACCCCATAACCAACAGATCCTGATAAATACAAAATAATCTTTGAATTGACGATTCAAAATCTGAATCGAAGGTCGGAACAAGTGGAATAACGTCAAAACCATGGAGTAAAACCCGGCCCCGAAAAGCTCTTTGAAAATGGTTTCCTAATCCTTGAAAACGCATTCATGTCATCAGTTTTTATTTGATCAGACGCTCACTTCCCCCGACAATGCAGCCATTTTGACTCAAAACCTTCGAGGCGTGTCGCCGTGACGTCATCTTGCGTCGTCTGGACTTGTCTCCAGTCGCCTGCTCCGTCACTAGTTCGAAACGCGCACTTCTCACTGCAAGCTGCGATACGCAGTTCTGACGTAGCCCAAATAGAACAGGGGTAAGATTCACTTTTTCAAACGACGAATTGACGGTGGAGTTGAGCTTACGTGACATGCTAATTTGCCACGAGCACGCAAAGGAGATCTGTTCGCATAAGTGTTACTGAGTGTGTCGCGAATTGGCCTCAGCCGAAGGCCGCGACTTGCCGGCGAAATGTGCGGAAGGACTGCGTGTACTCTGGCCCCGGATGAGGTGAGCCGAGCCTGCTCGTACAGAAACCGGCGCGGGCAGCGGAGGCAGCCTGGCTGGAGGGAGGGAGACGCGGACAAATACCGACCGTCCTACAACAAGACCCCGCAGTCCACGAGCCCCGTGCTGCTCTCCCGCAGGCACTTGGACGAGGTAACCCGGTCCACATCTGAATCAGTAATACAAGAAGAAACTTGATTCTTAACTTGATTCATTTCGCCGAGGAACATTTTGGTAGACAACAGCAAGTTGTGCAAAATGTCGGTCCGAAACACTGAACACTTTGACATGATGTTTGTGTGTGTGTGTGTGTGTGTGTGTGTGTGTGTGTGTGTGTGTGTGTGTGTATAGAATGCGCCCGTGGACGAGTGTGTTTTGGCTTCCATGCGTTGGGGCCTGGTCCCTTCCTGGTTTAAGGAGACGGACCCGAGCAAGATGCAGTACAGCACCAGCAACTGTCGCAGTGAGAACATCCTGCAGAAAAAGACGTACAGGGTACTTTGTGGTACATGATGATCTGACATTTCAAAGATGCATACTGTACATCACCCTGGACTGATCACTAGTCTGTCGTCGGGGTTAATCTCGACAACCATTCACACTTGCATTCGCACCTACGAGCAATTTGACCGGCGCCATCAACTCAACGGCATGTAGCCAGCACACAGCCATTTCTGTCAGAAGATACAGCCACCTAGAAATACAGCATATCCAGTACAGTACGCAGTATTTGTGTTTGACAATAAAAACTAGTTTTTAACTCAACACGGTATTTCAGATCACCATAACGATGATGGTGATCTGAAAATGTGTCCATATCGCCCGGCCCTATCGGTCAGGAACTTCAGAGACCAACGAGTGTATTTGTAGACAAGCCTTTCAAAACTCCCATTTCCATATCACGGCTTTCATGGCTTTGCTTTCTCGCCAAGGAGCCTCTGCTGAAAGGACAACGCTGCGTCATCCTCGCTGATGGCTTCTATGAGTGGAGGAGGCAGGAGAAAGAAAAGCAGCCGTTTTTCATCTACTTCCCTCAGGCCCACAGCTGCCACGCGGAGAAACGAGATCCCGTCAATGAGTCGGCACAGGCGAGTCAAGCTTTCGTGCCCGGCGTCGCCACCCTGCGGGCTAGCGCAGGGTTCTCCTCCTCCTCGGCTCCTGAGAGCTGCGGAGGGCTCCCGCTTTGATAGTGTGCACTTTTGAAATCAATTTGCTCAAACTACCTTGAAATGTGATCGTGAATGCTCCTCATTTCTGAGAAGGCACCGATCACATGAGCAATTTCTCACAATAATGACAAAACCGAGAAATCTCAATGGGCCACACTCGATTCTAAATATCTGCCGCCGATGACATTTTGAAATGATCGCTCCGGCAATATTCCTGGAGAGTCAGTGTCTCCTCACCGGTGAGCTGTTTTTTGCAATCGGCCCGCGTTTCCCACTGTTTCCCCCACTGCGTTCGAATAAGTTCAAGGGTATTTTTGAGGTAGTTCGTCTCTCGACGGTCCCGCAGGAGTCCCTCCCGCGCTCACGGAATCTGCCGCGGATTTCAAAGCCCTCGGGATTGCGCTCTGTGGAACCGACGCTTTTTCTCCACAGATTCCGGATTGGGCCGAACGAACGAATGAACATTTGCTGGGTTCCATTCGCAGGCAGGACAACCGTCAGATGAGTGGACAGGCTGGCGGTTGTTGACCATTGCAGGACTATTTGACCGCTGGACAGCTCCATCTGGTGGAGAGCCCCTCTATAGCTACAGCGTCATCACTGTGAACGCTTCCCCCAGCCTCCACAGCATCCACGACAGGTGAGGAGAAAAACAGCACCTTTGCAGCCTCGCTCTGCTTCGGAGCCGAAGCTGTTGTCCCTTTCAGGATGCCGGCCGTCTTGGCCGGAGAAGAGGAAGTGAGGAGATGGCTCGATTTTGGGGAGGTGAAATCTGGGGATGCTCTGAAACTGCTCCAGTCAGAAGACAAATTGACTTATCATCCCGTCTCGTCGCTTGTCAATAATTCTCGCAACAACTCTCCTGAATGCCTTTAGCCTGTGGACCTGAACCAGAAAAAGGTATTGCCTTGAATGTCCGACTTTGGGTGGGGGGTACAAATTAAATGCGCAGAGGAAACCAAAAAAGGTTGATTCAGCTTATCCTGTTATCAGGCTTTGGCTTTTGAGTGAGCTGCAAACACGGGCGCGCAAACGTCAGCCTGACTGATGCCAGGTCTGCTCCACAGGAGTTGCGCATGTCGTGTCCTCTCCTACTTTGTAAAATTAGACTGTCGGAGTAAACACGATTACATTTACCGGCGTTTTTTTTTTTCTTTCTGCTCGTTAGTGTTCAGCTCTTCAATTGGTCAATTATTAGAACAGTCGTCCGGATTGGAGGAAATTTTCTTATGCCCATCTGTCCCCCAAAGGTGGAATGTTTGTTGTTTGCCTTTTTTTCCTGCGGACTGTTGTTTCTAACAACTTGATTATGTCAGTCAAATCCTTCCTCTCATTTGCCCATGCTTGATTGTCCTGGCGGCAGTTGAGGAGATCAACGGGCAACCGGTCAAGAGCGCGCACCACCTAGCGTTCAGTCGGATTGGCATGCATGTCATTGGATTGGCTCCAGCTCAGCACGACGCCAACGAGGGTGACAAAGCGAGCGGTACTCCTCAAGACAAACGTCGGCATGTATTCCCCACAGGAGGCCGAACCGAGCGCCAGCGGCAAGATGATGATGAGCTGGCTGGCGAGCGGCTCTACCAAGAGGAAGGACCCGGAGGCTCGCGACGCTCAGCAGACCGACGCAGACAAAAAAGACACTCCCCGCATGTCGACGGGACTCCAGCGATGGCTGCAGGGGCCCAATAAAAAAACAAAAACCCAGTAAGGTCAACGTTTGTTATTCTCCGTTTCAGCTTTCTCGTCGTCGTCACATGTGAGCATCTGCGCCTTCGGTGGTTTCACGTTCCAATGGAATTTCATCAATAAATGCCTTGCTGAATTGGAGGTTTTTATTCGCCTTATTCCTTGAAAGGCAAAGACATTTTGAAACATTGCTCGGCCTTTTATCATACTTCGAATACAATGATGAACGCCGCGACTTCCACCGTCCCACTTTTGCTTTCAACGTTATGGTCTGTAAGCTATCTCGGAATCCAGAAGGCATTTCCGTCTGACCGGCTCTGACTGCTGAAAAGAAAGGTTGAGCACACGAAGGTGTGGAGGTTTGCCTGTCTGTCTTCCCCATAAAACGATTCTTTGAAAGGGTCGTCAATGGAAAGAAAGCCATCGGCTAAGTGGACCGACTTACAAGCCATCGTTGGGACTTCCTCTCCAGTACTGCCAAGTGGGAGTGACGTGCTGTCTTGATTTGTTTCATGTTGCACCAGGAAGGGAGAACTGTCCAAGAGAAAGTCCAAAGAGGAACGGCGCTAACCCGTGAGCCAGTTTCATGTCGCTCTCAGGGTGGTGGTTTGGGCAATGACTTCAACCAGAACAACCTGCACACTTGAGTGGCGGGACTCGCGATTGGTCTTTGTTTTCATCAATAGGCAACAGATGGCCACAGTTGTCACATTAGTGATCGGCCGACCTCCAATCTCAGTCCCTCACGAGCAGTGATATTCCGTTTGAAGGCCGCGTGGCACAAAGCCACGATGCATGCGGCTCAAAGGACGGGAACGGTGTTTCGTCTATTCATGCGGTTGTGGCGACAAATGACACGAAGACGACCACCGCCACAGCTACAGAGGAAACACGCCAATCCACCGACGCGATGAAACACAAAAGCATGTGGGACGTTTGAGCTCAATGTAAAACAAGCGATTGCGAAAGCAGCGATATTCGATCCGACTGAAAATGTCTGTTGCCATTTAAGCTCGGGGGGCACCTGACAAGAATAAACGTACGATGCGGAAGGTGTTCTTTGGGCTAGGAGACCGATACTTGATAGAAAACGGGTGGTTCCCACGCACGAGGAGGAGGCTGCAGCATGATGGGTCGCGTCGGTACTCTGTGAGCGGGATGCTGCTTGCGCGGGGAGGGAGGGGGCATAAGGGGTCGACGCGGCGGGTCATGGGAAGGGAGGCTATTTAGACAAGGCAGGACGGCACCAGGAGGGCCGTGGTGCAGGTCCGGGCGGTCCTCAGCAGCTGCAGGTCTCCGCCGAAGGCTTGGCTCGCTCATTCCTGTCCAGCTTAATGGGCTCCGGGAACTCGTTGTACAACTCCACTTCGGTCTCCTGGTTGGGAAGACAGGCAGATGGGTTTTCAAGCCTGCGCCGGCAGCGGCAACGGCGGCACCATCGGCGCCTTACCTGTTTGAGAGCGTTGCGCGCAATGGTCTGGAAGGCCTGCTCCACATTGATGGCCTCCTTGGCGCTGGTTTCAAAATAAGGGATGTTGTTCTTGCTCTGACACCAAGCTTGCGCCCGCTTGGTCGTGACCTGGACGTACACGGCAGCACGCGGAATATCGCGGCGCCGAGTGAGCCAAACTTCCAAAGAAAGTCAAAGCGGTAGCTCGACGGGAACCACCTGTCTGTTCTCCAAGTCGATCTTGTTGCCGAGCACCACAAAGGGGAAATTCTCCGGGTCTCGGGGGCTGGCTTGGATCAGGAACTCGTCCCTCCAGCTGTCGAGGGTCTTGAAAGTGTTGGGGGCCGTCACGTCGAACACCAGAACGCAGCAGTCCGCTCCGCGGTAAAACGCCACGCCTAAAGACTGGAACCTCTCCTGACCTGCTGTGTCCCAAATCTGAAACGCAATCAAAAGCAACTGAAACAGACTGAGCAGCAACTTGACTGAGGAAGCCGCCGCCAAAACTCAGCACCGCTTCAATGAAGTCAAGAGACAAATGATCGCCCAGGCAAAATAACGGTGGGATTCGAACCGCTGCTTAAGTGTCTTTGCGTGCCTTGAGAGGCGCTCCATAAATCTACGCTGCCATTGTTCTTCTTCTTCTTATCAACAGAGGAATGAAATGTGCAGCTCCCAGACACAATAGTCGCCCAAATCTTCCCACCTGCGCGGGGAACCGTCTCCGCCACACAAAGTTTGCGGCGAGCGCGTCACGCATTGTGTGTCTCATCTGAATATGGTGGGTGCTTCGTACTTGTTTCACACCACGAAGACACTTGCGAGGAGCACGGCAAAGATGCTCAAAACCAACGGCACCAGGACGCAATTGTATTTCCGACATCTCTCACGGAAATCGGCGCAGACGTTCACCTGCATTGTGACCAGTCTGTCATCCACCATGACTTCTTTCGTCAAGAAATCTGCACCTATCGTGGCCTTGTACTGGTTGCTGAACTTCTTATTCACGTACTGGTTCATCAACGAGGTCTTCCCGACTCTAGAAGGGAACCAAGCACAGGGCACGAAGCCCATTTGAAGGTCAGAGACCGAAACGCTTCATTTGGCGCTCGCGGCATTGACGGGTTCCATGCCCGGTGCGGTGGAAGCCGCTTGAGCTTCGAGGGCGACGACCACTCACCCGGAGTCCCCGAGGATAATGACTTTGAGGAGGACTTTCTTCCGTGAAGTCATTGCGCCTCAGCTGGAACCACATGAGGAAAACGTGAGCGGGGAACCTCCCCTGAAGTGGACGCAGCGTTCCAAAGAATCGTTGCGAATCCGTACGACGCCACAGGAAACGTAAGACGGACGGGTTTTAAGGATGGGCATGCCATAATATAGTGTACAAGTAGGTTAGGTTTACGAGGAAGTGACCCCCCACCCGCAAATGTAAGATGGTTTTCAAAGGACGATCAATAGGAAGTCGACTTTGTCGGTTCTAATCAGTTCAATGTTGTTCAAAGACTACTGAAAATGAACACACACCAGTCACATGACAGCATAAAGACTGGAAACAGCGTTAATCATTACACATTCTTACGATACGAGAAAAAAAAGATGACTGCGTCTTTTTCGTTCGACATAAATGAATCACTTGACTATTGTATTTAAATGAGTCGAATTGGGGGAGGGGCTGCGAGCATTGCATTGCTATGCAATGCCAGCATTGACATGCTAAATCAGACAAGTGGCGTGATTGACAGATGGAATGACGACTGCAGCAGAATGGGTCCTAATAAACAAAATTGTCTTGATCTGATCCGTGATCACTCGGCATTCTTCGCTTCAGCTGAGCGTGCCGAATGTCCCATTTTACCACTATAGTGCACTCGGCTGGACCGACCGAAGTCCAAACTTTGTTGTGACTTGACCGGACTGAGGTTATACTTTTCATGACCCAAACGCCCCCCACCCCCACCCCAATCAGTAAACTGTCAGGGGCATACTCGCACTCATTCTTTTGCTTATTTAGAGGAAAACAACGCACGTTGACAGACCGCAATGCTCGTGAAGGGTTCTGGCAGCGGCGCTCCTAATCTGCACCCCATGACACATTGTCAGGGACGGATCACATGGTTGCTCAACACACGGCTAACGGAATCATGACTCGGCAAGCGACCACTAGCTGGGGGAAAGGGGGTCCGATCACCACCGTCGGTGCAAAACAAACCAACAAACACTAAGTCAATCAGTGGCACGCACAAAGGCGGGTAATCGATTGCCCTGAATGCACCGTCATCATTTTACGGGAACTCGTGAAAACGCTCCAAGGTGTCAGCACAAAATCAAACGAGAGCCAACAAACGGGAATGGAACATCTCGAAAGGTTACCTCGTCAATACAAAGGCGTGTTTTGCCTGACTAGTTTGAGTCGCATTTTTGTTCGTTTTGGTAAAGAATGGCCAGCAGCTCAATCGATCGGGCTAACGTTTAGCTGCACAACGGGTGATTGTGGAGCACGATTTGCAAACAGCCTCGTTCTCAAATATTGGCGAAACCGATGCGGGGAAAATGTCACAAGGCATACCTGTGAGCCGATCCTGTGGCAAAACTATCAAGAGTGGACTTTTCCTCAGCCTGGGTTCCTGGCGTAAGCTAACGCGCAGATGAGCGCCCCAAAATTATTTAAAAAAAACAGAAGGAAAGAAAGAGGGCCGGCGGTTCCTTTTAAGTATCCGTCGTCGCAAAAAATGTCCCTCTGAAACCTCGACACCTCACGGACATCCGCTATTTATCCGTCGCGACTCACTCGCCGACTGGAAGTGAGCGCCGTCAGGGCAGCAAAATTCTCACTCGGCGCTTTGCTCCAACGGGGTCTTCGTGTCGCCGTTGACGTTGGCTTTCGCCGTCTGTCAAGCTAATGTGCTAGCCGAGCACGTTAGCCTCGCCGTCCGCTTCCTCCAAAACAAGCCCAGTCGTTGGCGGTGACGTCACACAGTGGCTACGCCTTTGCTCAGCTGGCCCGGCCAGCAGTGAGGAACGTTCGCCCACAATTGAGCCATCTTTTGCATTTGCATTTGGCTCCCTCCAAAATTAGACGACGTTTTCTGCCCCCGCCCCCGATGGAGACAAAATATGCTTGTAGAAATGAGCACCAAACATCTGGTCCCAACAAACACATCGAATACAACGTACGTCAAACATGTTCGGAATCGGCATTTGACAGAATTTCGTATTAAGTCAGAATTATCAGAATCAAAATCAGAATCATCTTTATTGGCCAAGTATGTAGAACACACAAGGAATTTGTCTCCTGTAGTACACGCTGCACTAGTATCATCATAAACAAGGACATGACAAATACGTATGGAAGGACATTATGCTATGTCGTGTCTCTCAACGTTCATTCAACCATTTTTAGCCCTCTACGGGTACTGTCGAACGAACATCATCCGTACGGGCATTCACCACGCCACGACTGCAAAAGACATGCTCACGTTCAAAACACATTATTCGTGCCCCAAACGAACTACATGCTCACAAAACTCAGGAGCACACAGATGTTGAAAGTCAAAACCAACAAAGCATGCATGTCACGCACGCACACACATGCAGTGCGTTATTCTACATATTGACTTGACACCAGTAGAAAACCCACATGGGTTACGAGTACAGTACTTAGCAGTGCCCTACTCTGCGCACATCCATGACAACTCCGTATTTTACTTTTTCAGAACGAAGGAATGTGACTACTGAAACCACCTCAGATTAGTCTGGATTGGGTTTTAATCATATTTGCTTTGTGCAAAAGATAACACCCACTGCCGAAACCCGGGATCGAACCAGGGACCTTTAGATCTTCAGTCTAACGCTCTCCCAACTGAGCTATTTCGGCCTGATTACTAGACTTCAGCGTAAAACACAAACATACAACGGCAATGCGAGGAACGCATTACAGAATTCGCCTGACTGCTAGCTCGGACGGGCCGAACATCCCGTCTGTGTGTACATTGTAATAAAAGCGTTAAAAAAACAAAGACAAACGAAGTCGACGAGCCTTCATAGAGACTCAGTCGCTTCCGGCGCAGGCCTTCTGACGTCATCGCTTCGTTTGAAAGAAGCGTCATCTCTTCTCACGTCGAGTGGCGCGGTGTGACGGCCTTTTGTTCCCTTCGAGCCGAACGTTCATCCCCCGCTATTCGTCCTCTGAACCTCCGCAGACATGGCGAGAAGGCCCCCGCTCGGCGCTTTCCTGCTGCTCTTGGCCGCCGCGCAGAGCTCGGCCACTTTGGTGAACGACGAAGTCAGGAGGACGGTGGACCTGAGCACTCACTTGGCGAAGATCACTGCGGACATAACGCTGTCTAACTTCGCACGCTACGACGTCCAAAGCTTTATCTTAACCGTGGATCCTGAGCTTTTCCCACACTTGGCATACGTCGGGGCCTCGGTGAGTTCAAATGGGCCAATATCGCACATGAACGCTGCAGTCGCGGGCTCCTGCGTGCTGCCTCTTTCATGCGGGAGACACGCGACCGTGCTGGCCTTTCTCGTCTCAGTCAAAGCTTTCTTATGCAAACGTGTGTGCGTTCATTTATGATTCGGCATTGTCATTTTGTCTATTCGTCATGCGTCGAACTGCAGCTTGAGCTAAAGTATGCTAATGTGAGTGGCCCGCCATGTTTAACAGGCAAGAAGTCGTTTATGGCTAACCTCAGTTTATCGTTAACGTGGTCGGTCTGTTTTGAAACAAAGCTTTGTTCGGAGTAGCTCTTGTTTTTAATCGCTGAATGTTAATTTGGCAAGCGTTTAACTTCCTTCGCGGCGCTCGTTAGCCGTCGGGACTGAATGACACGTATGCGCTGGGCAATGCACTTCCGGCCCCTAAGACGGAGAGGACCCGCCCACTTCCATCGGCACCAAAGGCATCCCTTGCTGCGACGATCGCTTACGTCACCAGCCAAAGTTGGAATCATATAATTTCGTTGACATTTCGCATATGTCCAAACGGTGTCGGAAAACTTTATGCGAGGTTTTGTGGCCTTTTCCGAACGATGTGGTGTCAATCTGAGGCGGAAGGTAGATGGCCTCAAGGTAAAATCTTTTTTTCCCCCTTATTCTAGCATTGTTTTCCCCCAACATTCATTAACTTTGAATCAACTTACACAAGGGGACTTCATCGGACTTATGAGGACTTGATTTGATTCCTCTAGGGGAAAAGTATCCCCCCCAAAGTAAAAAAAAACAAACAAAAAAACTCCAAAATAAATTCTATATATATATATATGTATATACACACACACACACACACACACATGCTAAGTCAAAGTAATTATTGTATTATATTAAATGGACATGGATCATTTAGGGAATATAGGTATACATTTTGGTGGGGATACAGAATCTGGTTTTATTTTATATTTATTATAATGCATAAAAAGCCAGGTGTTGTGTAATTTTTGTATTATATTAAAACCTTATGAATTATTGACTCTACTCGTCAAAATACAAATAAGTCAAAGTAATTATTGTATTATATTAAATGGACATGGATCATTTAGGGAATATAGGTATACATTTTGGTGGGGATACAGAATCTGGTTTTATTTTATATTTATTATAATGCATAAAAAGCCAGGTGTTGTGTAATTTTTGTATTATATTAAAACCTTATGAATTATTGACTCTACTCGTCAAAATACAAATAAGTCAAAGTAATTATTGTATTATATTAAATGGACATGGATCATTTAGGGAATATAGGTATACATTTTGGTGGGGATACAGAATCTGGTTTTATTTTATATTTATTATAATGCATAAAAAGCCAGGTGTTGTGTAATTTTTGTATTATATTAAAACCTTATGAATTATTGACTCTACTCGTCAAAATACAAATAAGTCAAAGTAATTATTGTATTATATTAAATGGACATGGATCATTTAGGGAATATAGGTATACGTTTTGGCGGGGATACAGAAGCCAGGTGTTTTGTAATTCTATTCAATTAAAATTCTATTCAAAGTAATTCTATCTCAAACCTACCATCCCAAACAAAGTAATTCCATCTCAAACCTACCATCTCAAACTTACCACAGCCACTTAGCGACTTTATTTTGAAAATCCATTGACCTAAACTTACCACAGCCACTTCTGTCGTATGTCTACCATAGCCTAAATCTACCTCCTCCGAGTCTGCAGCTGGATATTATTGGCTTTGCTCAGCTGGCCCGGCCAGCAGTGAGGAACGTTCGCCCACAATTGAGCCATCTTTTGCATTTGCATTTGGCTCCCTCCAAAATTAGACGACGTTTTCTGCCCCCGCCCCCGATGGAGACAAAATATGCTTGTAGAAATGAGCACCAAACCTCTGGTCCCAACAAACACATCGAATACAACGTACGTCAAACATGTTCGGAATCGGCATTTGACAGAATTTCTTATTAAGTCAGAGTTATGAGAATCAAAATCAGAATCATCTTTATTGGCCAAGTATGTAGAACACACAAGGAATTTGTCTCCTGTAGTACACGCTGCACTAGTATCATCATAAACAAGGACATGACAAATAAGTATGGAAGGACATTATGCTATGTCGTGTCTCTCAACGTTCATTCAACCATTTTTAGCCCTCTACGGGTACTGTCGAACGAACATCATCCGTACGGGCATTCACCACGCCACGACTGCAAAAGACATGCTCACATTCAAAACACGTTATTCGTGCCCCAAACGAACCACATGCTCACAAAACTCAGGAGCACACAAATGTTGAACGTCAAAACCAACAAAGCATGCATGTCACGCACGCACACACATGCAGTGCGTTATTCTACATATTGACTTGACACCAGTAGAAAACCCACATGGGTTACGAGTACAGTACTTAGCAGGGCACTACTCTGCTCATATCCATGACAACTCCATATTTTACTTTTTCAGAACGAAGGAATGTGACGACTGAAACCATCTCAGATTAGTCTGGATTGCGTTTTAATCGTATTTGCTTTGTGCAAAAGATAGCAGCCATTGCCGAAACCCGGGATCGAACCAGGGACCTTTAGATCTTCAGTCTAACGCTCTCCCAACTGAGCTATTTCGGCCTAATTGCTAAACTTCAGCGTAAAACACAAACATACAACGGCAATGCGAGGAACGCATTACAGAATTCGCCTGACTGCTAGCTCGGACGGGCCGAACATCCCGTCTGTGTGTACATTGTAATAAAAGCGTTAAAAAAACAAAGACAAACGAAGTCGACGAGCCTTCATAGAGACTCAGTCGCTTCCGGCGCAGGCCTTCTGACGTCATCGCTTCGTTTGAAAGAAGCGTCATCTCTTCTCACGTCGAGTGGCGCGGTGTGACGGCCTTTTGTTCCCTTCGAGCCGAACGTTCATCCCCCGCTATTCGTCCTCTGAACCTCCGCAGACATGGCGAGAAGGCCCCCGCTCGGCGCTTTCCTGCTGCTCTTGGCCGCCGCGCAGAGCTCGGCCACTTTGGTGAACGACGAAGTCAGGAGGACGGTGGACCTGAGCACTCACTTGGCGAAGATCACTGCGGACATAACGCTGTCTAACTTCGCACGCTACGACGTCCAAAGCTTTATCTTAACCGTGGATCCTGAGCTTTTCCCACACTTGGCATACGTCGGGGCCTCGGTGAGTTCAAATGGGCCAATATCGCACATGAACGCTGCAGTCGCGGGCTCCTGCGTGCTGCCTCTTTCATGCGGGAGACACGCGACCGTGCTGGCCTTTCTCGTCTCAGTCAAAGCTTTCTTATGCAAACGTGTGTGCGTTCATTTATGATTCGGCATTGTCATTTTGTCTATTCGTCATGCGTCGAACTGCAGCTTGAGCTAAAGTATGCTAATGTGAGTGGCCCGCCATGTTTAACAGGCAAGAAGTCGTTTATGGCTAACCTCAGTTTATCGTTAACGTGGTCGGTCTGTTTTGAAACAAAGCTTTGTTCGGAGTAGCTCTTGTTT